AGACCACCCCGCACCCGGTGACCCGGGAGAGTGACGGGAGGGACCCAGTTTTTTTTTAGGGGGGGGGGGGTGGGACAACCCTTAGGTTATTCGGGGGAGGAAATTAAATGTTTGAAAAGAGGGTTGGAGGGGGCCAAAGGTGGTGTTTGGTGTGGTTTTTTTTTTTCGGGGGGGTGGGGGGGGGGGGGGGCGTGTGCCTGTTTGTCGTGTTCTTGTGCGTATGCGTTCCGAGTGGTGTGTGCGTGTGTGGCGGCTGCGTGCGCGTTCTTCTTTGTCTTCCGATCTGCTACGTCCTCGCTGGTGTCGGGGTGTCCAACACACACAACAGGTGGTGTTGTTGTTGTTCTCGATACAGTTGCGTGTGTCGTCTGTGTTATTTTCTCTTTGTGCCTTATCGTTGATGGCACAGGGCGGCCGTAGTCAACACAAGGTGCGTCACAGCGTACCGTACTCTCAGTCCCAAAGGCCGCACCTACCCAACCCGTAGTGCGGCGCAACTTGTGCCGTTTCGGCGCGAGATGTGTCGATTGTCACCACGTCACCACATCTGCGAGGGGGGGAAAGGCAAAGAGTGCTGGCCTGGGAGTCTGTTTCTCGTCTATACGCGACCTTCTTCTTATTGTCCATCTTTCTTTCCGAATTTATATTTCCGGTTTTGTAGGAGTCGCCTCCCGCCAAAGGCCACTGCCTGACTGCTGCACGATTAAAAGTCTTTTTTTTACTATTATTGTCCTTTCTTTGAACACTACAGCAGTGTGTGTGTAGGGATTTTGCATTTTTGTAACGAATAGCGTCTCTCGCTTGGCCGTTCTTGCTGTATATTAACGGATTGTGCCGGGGTTGTGGACGACACTCGTCGTGTCGTTGTTGCTGCCTGACGTTGGGGATCGAGCGGCCAACAACGTGTTACTTGCTCGTTCTTGTAGGGAGAAAGACGCGTCGCTGCGCGTGATGGGGGTTAGTTGGACTTTTTTCCACGAGGAGGATGATTCCCGCGGCGGACAGCCAGCAGCGCGGTACCCGCGTTAACTTTCGACGTCTTTGTCGCAGTAGTTTGTTGTTGGGTGTACATCTTTTGTGTCTGCTGTTTTGTTCGCTTGCTTGGGAGGAGCCAAAGCAATGCGTATGGTATGCAAGATGAACAAGAAATGCTTTGGGGGAGAACCCGAGAACGCGCATGATGTTCATGTGATCGAACTACTTTTTTTGTGTCTCGTACAATAACGTAGGTGGGTCAACCGCGTTAACTGAACTCCAGCGCTGCCGTGTCGAATTTCACACGCGCGATTCGGGAGTGATTCATTCGCACTTGTGCTGCGGCGGTGCTTTCACGCCTCTCGCTTCGTTGGTGACGCTGCCAACGCGCGCTCCGAGCGCATCTCGACAACTGAGCCCCGCGGCGCGGCATTGCGCTTTTTGCTGCAGTCACCCGTTGCTTCAAGACAAACACGCAATAGTGGGGGTCCCTGTATAGTGCCGGTTGAATAGTGCCAATTCCCGGCATATTGTAGTGCCGGTGTTTTCGGCGGCTAGAAACCACACCCTTCAATTGTAAGAAAACACACTTACGGGCACACACTGAAGTTACTGTCAGTACTTCGAACTGCTGTGCCGGTGTCCGGTATTACAGTGCCGGCGAATGTTCTGGGCACATACACACGCGGCACTAAACAGGGACCCCCACTGGTACATAAATCGCGGGAAAATACTACAGAACGTGCCGGCACTCAAGAACCTCTATTATATTTATAGTTCGGCCGAGGGCGGGGTTGTTGTTAACTGTATTCGTAGGCTCATGCTTACGAATGGTCGCCATATATACAGGTTTTAGTGTAGGGGTTCTTAACTCGCCGAGCTCACAGTTGGTGCTCAAGATCTTACATTTTTTTTCTTCTTTTTTTTCTTAATATGACACAACGAAACCATCTCTATCATAGAAAAGAGTCTGAGACAGATTATTAGCAATGGATTCAATTTGAGTTTTTTTAGGCTCAATTCTTCTTTAACTCTTTCTTGGGTTCGGAAGTGCGGGCGCGTTCTGTACATGTACCCGTTGGAGATATTGCCTCAATCGAAAGGGCGTGTAAAAAAAAGCCTGTTGCAATGGAGGAGTGGTTGTTTTCCTTTACGCATCTCTTAAAAATCACGTATGTTCCTGTTAAAACGTCAACCCGTGAACTACTGAGTGAGGCGAATGAATGACGGTCGACAATTTTGTCACGACAGGATGATCGAATCAAGGGTGCGCATCCCACTGCGTGCGTGCAGTCGACCGTCTTTGTGGTTTTGCCCGGGCCTGCCTAATGTAACCAAACAATGCATGGCTGAAGGCCTTGAGTGCTTGATGCCAACTCCTCACAGCAGTGCCTCCCTCAACTTCTGTTCCTGTACTTGCTCGTCGGGTATCATGTTCTTCTTGTTGCCGTCAGGGTCTACCTCTTAAATTTATCTACTTCGTTCGTCTTCCTTAGCTGTTCAGGGTAAGAGCGCGATCTCGAACACCTCGATTCTTTTTCAGCTCTGTGATATGCTCGATCGCTGGGCGAACACGCTCCAGGCGGTTCCCGCTGTCGCTCGTGCATTGATACAAGTCAGGTCTTGCGAAGCACGGAGCTCTGATATCTGATCGGTGTAAGCTGCTGCGTAATTATCCACACACACACGCAAGAGTAGTTACGTTTTCCACGAACTGACGTAAAACAGTCTAAAATCGTAAGCCATATTCATATAGCAGGTTGCAGTGTTTGGTGTTTGGTTCGACGATCACGGCTCATGCCCAAGCCGTTCTTCGTGAACAGCGCTCAAAACTTGCAATCAGAGCGTCGCTTTTGTGTGTGTATCTCCAACCAGGCCGAGCACGATATAAAATTGCATTCGAATGTCGTCCTCGCCACCTTCCCGGAAAACGCCGCCGGTTTTTGCTGCAGCGGGGCAGGATCGCGGGAGAGCCTTCAGAAAAGGAAAAATTTAAATCGCCTAACCGTGGAGACCACCTTCTTCATAAAGGTACTATGTACCACATATCTCCTCAATGGCTGTCGAGGACGGTTCCCCCTCCTTTCACAGCAGTGACATCGACAGAGAGGTCAGAGTGTGCGCTTTTGGTCGAAAAAGACACGGACGGGTTGAATCCCTCTTTTCACACAACGGGGGCAATATTATTTACAGTAGTAGTGCCTCATCACCACGTCATCCTACCGTAAAGGAAGTTCACAAAGAACGCGCAAGATTATCGCCTGGCACACCTACTTGATGAAAACAGGCGTTCGTGCACGGGCGCCGATGACCCAAAAAACCTTCTGGGCAAGCGACAAACAGACTACAGTAAGACCTTCGGGAAACCTTGACGCAGGTTATCCCTTCAAGGTTCACCTGATGGCCAAGAGACGTATCCCCGGTAAGCATGAGTCATGTTTGTTTAAACCCGGAGGAAGGCTAAGTCGCACGAAAACGTCAAGCAAGGTGCAGCTTCGGGTTGTACTTCTTGTCATGAGAGGTGCTGAAGACAAAAATCATCACCAATCGCCAGACAGAGAGGCTACTGCGCGGAGGGGGCCTAGCATGTAAACCCACAACTACGACATATTATCCACGCGCGGTGGCAACGACTCCCATCGCGAGTGAGCGAAGGGAAACAGACCATGGCCCGATCAATCGGAGCACTGGGAACAACAACAACAACAACAACAACAACAGACCCATTGAAACCATCGGCACTCCTGTAGAAAAAAACTGCAGACTATGCAGTCAATGTACCAAAAACGTTCCTTCCCATGAAAACAAAAAAACTAAACCTGTGTTCGTCCTACACGTGTACCAAACTCACACGTGCGCAACCTTTACACACAACACCGACACAGGGTTTCGCCAACACAGGGTTTCGCCATCACCAACTCTTGCGGGCACTTGGTGCATCCCGTGCCAGCGCCAAACACAAACGGGAACAGCGGGGAGTTGGCTGAACCCATCGTCGACCGTATGAGTAGCTGCCACCCGTCAAATCTTCCCTAAGTTGACCTGCCTATTGCAGCTCTAGGAGGACTACAACAACAACCAAAAGTCAACCCCCCGAATTCAAGGTGCAATATGCATATGTACACCGATTGCTGCCCTCAATGCCGGGTCCGCACGCCATGTTGGGACCGACGAGAACTACAAGCGAATCAAGGGCGCTGTGCCATCACCGTATCTATTCACAACGTTTAGTCGCGCTGAGTGGCGATTCAAACGGGCAGAGAGAGCCGAACGTGCACTGACATTAAGAAAGACGACGTTCCACGGCGCATAGACTACTCGTCAAAATTTGCGTGTTACAACGACAGGCATACGTTCACGCGCCTGGTTCTCCAGACTTTACAGAGAACAATAGCCAATATCCTGTCATACGTAAGACGCTCCGGTGTACCGAAAAACTTGCGTCGCCCTGAGTGGCGACTCAAACGGGTAGACGGAGCCGAAAGTGCACTGACATTAAGAAACATGACGTTCCACAGCGCATAGACCACTCGTCAAAATTTGCGTATTACAACGACACGCATACATTCACGCGCCTGGTTCTCCAGACTTTACAGAGAACAATAGCCAAGGTCAATACCCTGTCATACGTAAGACGCTCCGGTGTACCGAAAAACTTGCGTCGCCCTGAGTGGCCATTCAATCGGGTAGAGGGAGCTGTAAGTACGCTGAGATAAAGAAACTTGACGTTCCACAGCGCATACTCTTCTAAAATGGCGTGCGGTTGCGACACGCATACCTTTTCACAAGCCTGGTTCCTCTCCAGACTTTACAGAGAACAACAGCCCAGGCTATCCTGTCATACGTACAAACCTCCGGAGTACAATTAGGCAGCGTTGCCCCGAGTGTCGAATCAAACGGATAGAGGGAGCCGTAGCATACACTGCGAACAAGAAACGTGACTTTCCACAGCGCATATTCTACTCTTCAAAATTGGCGTGCTTGAACCCATACCCACCAACACAGGCGTGTTTTGGCCACGCTACTGGCGGGAAGAGACGCTGCCCCCCTCCGCGTTCAAGAACGCCCTCTTGAACAGGAGCGACTCCCGGCGCTCGCCCTTGGCGAGCGCGAACAGCTCCGCCCTAAGCGCAGAGTTGTCCGACGACACCCTGCGCAGCTTCCCCTCCTCCCCGGAGCCAGCGCCACAGCCTGACTTGTCGCGGCTACCGCACCCCGCGCTCTTCCTCGCCCTCGTGGCCCTCCTCGCCGCCCTCCTCCGGCTACCTCCCCCGTGCTTCCATCCGCTGAGGCGGCCGAGGATGACGTCCAGCTCCGTGGCGGTCATCGACTTCGCCGGCGAGGTGGACGCAAGCACCGAGGCGTCGAACAGCCTCTTGACCGGCCGGTCGGTGATGCTCCGGGGGAATACCAGGCTCTTGAGGCTCGCGAGGCTGCCGTCGTACCTGTCGAGCAGAGTGGGGATGGCCTCCTCCTCCTCCTCGTCGCCCTCCTCCTCCTCTCCCCAGAGCCCGCTGCCCTTGACGCCCTTGATGCCCTTGATGCCCCGGTCACCAGAGGCAATGATGTCCTTCATGCCGTACGTCAGCGGTTGGCCGTCTCCGTACGGGCCGACGCCCTTGCCGCCGCGGCCGATCGTGTCGTTACCGACACCGCCGCCGCCGCCGCGGCTGTATTCGATCGCGAAGCGAGCCGCGCGGCTGAACGAACGCGGGGCCTGGGCGAACGATCTGCGGGGCCCCGTGACAGGGTCCTCCGCCACGGACACGACGTCGGCTCCACCGAGCGTGATCGTCGCGGTGCCCCGGCCGTCCTCCTCTTCGTGGTCGTGGTTCACGCTGGCCAAGTGTAGGTCCCACTCGGCGATAACGTCCACGCCGGAAGAGAACCGAACCCCGTGGCTGGGGCGCCGCTTGCTGGCGCCGTTCCTGGCGCTCCGAATGCCGACAGCGTTGTTGTTGAGGCTGTGGCTGCTGTGTTGGCTGCTGTTGTCGAGTGTCTCGCCGCTGCTGTGGCTAGCGGCCGGGCGGCGTCCGCCGCATGCCGAGAGACCGGAAGGGTTGAGACTTCTCAGGGCCTGATGGTGGGCGGGAGCGGGTGGGGGCAGGGCGGAGGTGTGGTCGTTGAGAACATATACGATAGATGCTTCGGGGGACATGTTTTTTCTGCCTGACTCGTTCCAAACAACAAGGATGCGAAACATGAGACTATCCAAAGAGACGGAATTGATTGTTCGCCTGGATATTTCGTGCCAGCAACCCATGTCGTTGAAATATATTGCTTGGGTTTCGGAGGAGACAAATATTGGGGAATGTATGAAAACAACAATAGAATAAGCACTCCGTCGACGACACTAAGACACCAGGCCACCATCACCTGTTTCGACAAGGCCAAGGAACTCTACGAGACGCACACCGTACCACCAACCTCTGGTAGCGGTTCGCCCACACAAACCCTTCAACCTTTGCTATTGTTGCTGTCTCACCTCGGCGGTAAGGCGGCCGATCTTCTTGTCCTTCTTCTTCTCGAGACCACCGTGCACAACCACTCGACCCTCCGCTGGAGTGGTGACGCACGTGGTTCCCCCGCTGTTATCCTTGTGCCACAGGTCGATGCCGCCTTCCTCGCCACCACCCTTGATGTGTGCGTGGGCGCGTGCGTTGGCGTGGTTTCCGCGGAAGGGTTGCAAGGGTGAGCGGTGGGAAGCAGTGGGTAGAGAATGGAGAGGAGATGTCCGAATACACCGCGGGTTAATGGTCGTGTTAGGCTCTGGGAGCGCTTGAAAACACGGACAAAGGGACGGGATGGCAAGGAAAGTGGCGGTGAAAGCGCGGGGGGGAATATGCTTCAAGAAACATGGAGGATGTGTTCAATAATTATACACCGTGGTACTTCTGCGCCTCGCCCTCCCAAACCATATACCACATCATCAGCTATCAAACACAAGGGGACACGCACGACGGTGTACGGTAGTCACGCCAGGAAGCACCAAGATACAACTACATATCACAAGATACATATGCACGATAAACAAAATAAAACTACTACAGAAAATGGACGACACAAATACACACGCACGACTTTGCGCCTCATCAAATAGCTATGACAAAGACGATGACAACCAACACCAACAATAGACTGCGCCGACGGCAACGGCGACGCCATGAAAGCAACACCCGCATGTGTGTGGCTGTGCCTGTCGTGAATGCGAAGGGAGAGATGTCTTTCGAAACTCACACGGGAGGGCGAGTAGCATGGGTGGGAGCTATTTCCTCCTGCTCGACGCATTGTGCCGACAGCCGGGGCTATTTTCTCCTGCTCGATGCGTTGTACCGAACGTGTTCTCGATGCCACAATGTACACTCTGTTCTTTATACAAATGCTCATCACATATGTTATCACAGAATATTGTTCAAAAACAACGATAAGGCGCGCCACATGCACGCTCATCCGTGCTTTCCGTCGCCGGACGACAGAGAGAGATAGCTTACGTATCCTCACCTTTCCGTTGTCGTCCTCGTCGTCCGTGCTACGTCCAGGGCAGCAGCATACCTCGAATGGCTTCGAAACCCTTCGATGCGGCGTGAGAGACCCAGCGAGAGGGAGAGAGAGAGCGAGGTTGCAGTGACGACTTTAAAAGACTCGAAATAAGTCCAGTACCCAGCCGGTTTCCCTTCACTCACTGAAAAGACTCCACCACATCCCGTTCGACTGTGGGTATATCTCGAATGGGTAGTCTTTCTGTGTGTGTTTTTATTATTCCTTGATTATTATTCTTGAAATTGTTCTGCTCTCTTTCTCGTACATACGAGTGTGTAGTCTGCAATTGTACCCCAGCAGCAGCAGCAGCAGCAGTTGCACACTACCTCGGTGTCGTGTCTCTCCCTAGCTGGCGCAGGAGCTCGCCGGCGGTGTTCATAAGGATATGGTATTGACACGAGGTTCTCGTGTGGAACGATCCCGCCGTACAAGACTACAAGTGTTTTGCTGTGCGTTCGCTTCTACTGCTGTAGTTTATGTAGACTACCCGTAAAGATTAAAATCTGATCCACTACGTACAACTTCTAGTTGACGGAATAGAAATAAATCACCCGAAGCCTCTCGCCCATGGTGCGACAAGGAGGGATGGATGCCCCGTCTGTCAGGCGAATTCTCAACTCGTCTCAAGAGCTTGGCTTCCTCCCTGCTGAGCTAGGATGGTGACGAGGTCGAAATTGCACCCAGCAGTACTGTACGTTGGCAGGTATGAACAGTCTGCGAGCCAAAGGTGCGACATGACAAGAACCAGGAGACCAGAGGTGAGGCTATCCGGAGTATATCTATGATGACGGACGGGTAGGCTGCGTACATACATGGGTCTCACCACTGGCAGAATTGCTTGACTCCGTTAACGATTTCCTCCATCAATGTGTCCATGGTAGAGTTTACAGTTGGATATGCCAGACTTGTGTGCTGACAATGAGATGTGAGATGTGGGGGCGAGGGGCGAGGAGCGAGGAGCGAGAAGGTGGGGAGCGAAGGGGAACTTGGGCAGGCAGAACCAAAAAGAGGCGGTTCTTGCGTATCCGATGGTTGCCGATCAACCGGGCGTTGTGGTTCGTCCTCGGAGGGCGTCGAAAGGCCGACAGCACACGACACACGACGACACGACGGCACAACGGGCGGCCCGTGCGCCCATGAACACGGTCCACCGCGGGCACATCTGGACATCAACCGGCCGCCTTGGGCTCAATCATGGCTTGCGTGATATCTGAGATCCGTGGGGATCCAGTGTCGGTGGTTTCGAAGAGGTTTCTTCGAGAGGTGTCGCCAATAAGAATGTACGACATCGCGGTCGCATCTGTGCAGCATTTTCGATGTACTTTCGTCCCCCTCCCAAGCACAATCGCTAAAAACGCTTCCAAAACATTTTGTAGTACTCCGCAGTATGGGTTGCTCGGCTTCCCCCTCAAAAGCTGTTCGGGTGAGAGGTGCAGTCGACCGCCGTTCATTGCGCCCGCGTAGTGGATCTACACTGTGGTACATGGCCGGCCACCACAAGTGAGAAAGAGCAGAGGCCAGACGGTGTGTATCGAGAAAGGGACTGCCAGAGGTGATAGATATACTTGTAGCAATGCCAAGTGGTTGTAGGATTAGGATTGTGTGGTACGTGGAATGTATTTCCAGGGTGTGCAAGGTACCCCTGTTGTATACTGCGTCGCCCCCGTACTGATGGTGCGTGCGCGTGTGCGTGCAGTTCGTTCATGTGTTCATGTGAGTCCATGTTTTTCATGTGAAGAAGAAGTCTATACAACAAGCCCAGCACATCTTTCCTCCTTGGCGCGAGTTCGCCGAGTTGCCGACACCCTATTCAACACACGTCTTGCGACAAGCTACCCCCAGTTCGGATCATCCTAACACGCTAGCGTGTGATATCACACGGGATCCCGAGGTGAGGTTAGCTTAAAAGGGTTCGGCTAGAGAAGTAGATCATGGAAGCCCTCGACCTCAGCAGCTTAACTGAAGAGGACCGCCAAGCATTATCGGCGCACATCAAAGAGGAAGTGGAGAGAGGAGTACAAGAAAAAATCAAGTTTACCGAAGAGAAGCGTCCCGCATCAGAGAGCGTGGACAAGCCCCCCGATGGAGGCGATCCCCGGCATGCTCGGCCGGCTGGAACAGCGTTAGACCCGCAACCTGAAGACCAGCCACGATCGTTGGAGGACCGTCTC